TTTTTTGGATGTTGGGAAGGTCCGCAGGGCGTGCTTTTGGAGCCATTTTCCCGCCCAAAATGTCAAGAAAAAATTCTGAAAGTCACATATAGCCAATATACATGACCTGGAAGACTATTGGCACTTTTTTCTCGGCGAAATAGCTGTCCTGGTTGTTGATTTTGATCTCGATGAAAATGAGGTTGGGACTTGAAAATCTGAACTTCCGTAAAACTCCAGAGGCTGCTCTCCCAGGGTCTAAATATTGGGCCCACCCTAGTCATACCTTTGCCTGGTCTGTGTAACTGCGTGCGTGGCCATCTTTCTATTCTCTTCAGCGTCCTTCAGTAGGTAGCCCTCCATGGTAGTCGGGTAGGAACAAGTGGACGGCGATTCATTTCGTCTCAGAACTTTACAAAGAGTACTGAATAAAGGCTACGGGACTGATATTGATAATGATGTGGATAATGAAGTAGGGTAACAAGAAAATCGTATATCCCTCGTTGCTGATACACGGAGACTACCACAAACAGACCCTGGCTCTTCCATATATTTTGCCAAGTTTGCCACCATTGTCTGTAGGTAGCTTGTACTTTTGTTACTCAGTGAAAGGTCTGGTGAAGTTGTATGGGCTGTCGGATCAGTACAATGTCAGTGTATACCTCAGGCACCAACATTAGCCCTAGAAGGCTGCCTATTTCTTTCAACACCGTCACAACCTACGATCTAGAGGAGGAGTTGATCGGAGCGAGGACAAGTGCCATATATCTTCTCCTAGTACTTTTATAGTAGATAGATGGCGCATGCCACAGGTGCTCATGTTCCGTGGGTCTGAGATTCTGATTCTGACTTGCCATCTGGATACAGTTCTGGACAGCTGTTCCCCTTGTCGACCAGACTTTTTGAACATTGAGGCTGTAAAGATATAGTCAGAAAGTATCCAAATATCTATGAGACTTCTACGGATGCTACCGCTGTTTGCAACGATATCCAATATGTACATTTCAAGAACATTACGCTGTAAATATATATCCCCCATCATAACCCTCTCCGAACAAGCTAGATTAAATTCAAGTCCCAAATCAAACTATCAGACTGCCCTTCATGACCCCAATAACACAAGTCCTTTATGAACCGTATATATTTTTATTTACAAGGTTCGTTGGTATACAGTACATTTGTACGTAGTGCAAAACATCGATAAGATAGGATTGAAAAAAACATGACGTCGCAACGAAGGTGGGGTTGAGAATGAGTTGTTTATTTAGCGTCACCATCAGACTACAATCAATTCCCTCCTCTTCCTCTCTAACAAACCAGCATTGGCCTCCCTCACAGACACCTCGAACCCAGAAAACAACACTATAAATTTCTCAAGACAGCCAAACCAAACAGAATGCCCCGCCCAACCACCCGGCAAGAAGTGCTCGACCGTCTCCACAAAACCATCGCGGACGGGAAGATCATTGTCGGCGCTGGCGCAGGTAATCAATTCTTCTGATATTCTAAGTAGAACTATATAGATTGCCACTATGCTAATAGACTAAATCTGCAGGGATTGGCCTAACCGCCAAGTTCATCGAAAAAGGTGGTGCCGACCTCATCCTTGTCTATAACTCGGGTCGGTTCCGCATGGCCGGACGAGGATCGCTGGCGGGGATGATGCCCTATTCTGATGCCAATCAGGTCGTTGTTGAAATGGTACTATCTTTTATTTATATATACCTTTTGCAAATTATATATACACACCATTACATACCCATCTTTTACTGGGTCCCAACAATAAGCACTACACAATATCGACACTACTAACGCAATGAATATGAAAGGCCTCCGAAGTCCTCCCCATCGTCGAAAACACCCCCGTTCTTGCCGGCGTCTGCGGCACCGACCCCTTCCGCGACATGCGCACGTTCCTCGCCGAACTTCGCCGGCTCGGCTTCATCGGCGTCCAGAACTTCCCAACGGTAGGCCTCATCGACGGCAAGTTCCGCCAGAACCTCGAGGAAACCGGCATGGGCTACGACCGGGAGGTGGAGATGATTCGGATCGCGCACGAGATGGACCTCGTGACGACGCCGTACGCCTTTACCGTGGATGAAGGCGAGCGCATGGCGCGCGCCGGCGCCGACATCATCGTTGTCCACGTGGGGTTGACCACGTCCGGGACGATCGGTGCGCAGACGGCGCTGTCCTTGGATGACTGCGTGACCGTGATCCAGGAGATTCGGGATGCGGTTGTTAAGGTTAATCCGGAGGTTATCGTGCTGTGTCATGGGGGACCATTGGCCGGGCCGAAGGATGCGGAGTATGTGTTGAAGAGGACCAAGGGTGTGCATGGGTTTTATGGTGCGAGTAGTATGGAGAGGTTGCCGGTGGAGATGGCCATCCAGGAGAATGCGGCGGCGTTTAAGAAGTTGCAGGTTAATGTTTAGTATGTCTTTTTTTGGTCTTGTTGTATGAGTCTCCCTCACAGATATGATTATTGGAGGGTTGCGAGACAAGCACAAGCCTTTTCACACTTCCCAATACGGTATGCCCCGTGGAGTCTCGGATGAACATCCTCTTTGATATATAGAAATTGTTGAGATTAGTCAAATATCACCCTGACTAACTATCGGCTGTACCCAAATGCGGAGAACGTGGTATGTGTTTGCAGATCGCGGTCAGTTTCTGATTCTGATTTGTTCGTAGCCTCGCCCGATGATTCGGCTCGTATCGCAAGTAACCGGCCAGTTCTGGACAGTTCATGAAGTGATATTCCTTATTATGATCACCTCTGCTCCTGGTTTGCCTCACTGGCCTCGTTTTTCCATGCATAATTTTCCCCACTTGCACCTCTGGGTCTGTGTCATCCAATGACATGTATTACATCGATGGAGACCTCCACCTCCAGATAGTATCGTTGTCTGTCCTTGAAAATGGAATCCCATCGTCAAAAGAGAGCACATTCATCTTTTACATTACGGGAAGCGTTGAACGAATTCTACAGTGCCAGTAACCAAAAATGCAAGGGCGTTACCGCAAAGGCGAACGATGTGTTGCTGCTGGCGTCCAAGGCCTGTAGCCAGCAATCCAGCTTTTTAGTAAAGGCAGGGCCCTGCCTGCATTCGATGGAATATTTCGCTTCTTTTCTCGACACTGGCCTCACCCCCCATGAACAGCAGCCCTCGGCTTTAGTCTGGGGGTGTTTGAAGCACTTGCTGACAGTGGGTACAACGTTTCTTCACTCTAGGTGAATTCTGAGCTGATGTAAGTCCAGGCGGCTTCAAGGTGGCAGACATGTTCCACAGTATAGGGGACTTCGGTGACCCGAAGATACGAGGGTGCTCCATCTCTATTTTTACCACCCCTCGCGTTCATCAGAAGATTCCGCTCCTCTACGCGAGGACATTACTATGCTGTGCGCGTGCAATGCAAGCGATGTCTCGGAAGCGGGAACGTTTTCGCTCGTTGATACCAGAGAGCTTGATCAAGCCCTTCGACTTTCGGTACGATGTTTCTTTGTCGAAGTTTCAACAACATCGAGATGAGTTCCTGGCAGAGGCACATCAAGTTAGGTTTATGCAGCGCGCTGAGTCTATATTTCGCGGAATCGACGAGGACGCTCTGGTCCGGTGTAGTTCGCCTTCTTCTTCTTTCAATTTTGGGCTGGACAGAGATAGGACCGTGAGGACGATGGAAGAGAAATTGATAAAACCAATGTGGTGATCTTGGCGCTTTTGTGTGCGATCGATACCTAGTTTATTTGTTGTATTCCATAGCAGAATTGGTGGTTGATGTTGGCCAGAGAGTACCCTTGACCTGTTGGAACCTTCATGGAACAACATATGTACATTTGGGCACCCCGGGCTATGCCGAGGTCTATCCATGGACCACGTTGACCCTAACGTTGCTGAACCAGCCCCTAAGCGCGCCCCCGCCTGAGTGTGATGCACAGGGTCCAAACGTTATGCACGGTCCAACCCGAGAGAACCCCGCATTTCTCTATGTCAGGGTAATATAATAGTGTTTTGAATGGCTTCACTTGAAAAGTCAAGTGGGGTGGAACTCACCCCGGAAATTACGTTACTAGAGCACGGAGATGATATCAAAAGAGGCATGGCATGCGGCTGTGCTCTAAACCGCATTGTTGGAGTCAGCCTTGCGGGGCACAGATACTACCGCGGATTTCTGTAATTTAAATGCTCGAGCTACTGAAGCAGATCGGCCGTATCACGCACGTCCTTTCCTGCTGCGTCGAATTCTGTCTAGCTGCTTCTTCCAAGCCCAAGGTGAACCAGTTCCGCAAGTCAGACTGAATGCTACTAACTGCTGCAAGTTCCAATGCTGGGTCGAGGGCCTCATGATGTCCGGGATAGAAATAGTAGGCGTGGTTGCAGCAGCCCTTCAAGTTGCTGAGCTTGGCTCTCGTGTGTCTGTGAAGCTTTGCACCCTCTGTCACAGGACGAGACATGCGGATACGGTCATCAATGGTCTCTCGAAAGAGGTTGCGCTGACCTGCAACGTCATGCGTCAGCTGGGTGACAGCCTCAAGGAAGACAAAGATGCGCATTTGTACTCTGCAGAGGCGTGTAGCACCGCGGAGACGGTGCTGGACGAATGCCAGAAGGTTTTCGACGAGATAAACGAGATAATCGACGTTTCGACCAGGTCGAGCTTCCGCCGAATTGCGTTCGTGCTTGCGGAAGCTCGGCGGGACTCTAACCTGACGGTGCTGAGAAGTAACCTGGAGAAGATGAAGTCGACAATGCTCCTGATGCTCAATGTCATCATATATGCCGGACAACTTCGCAGGTAAGGCTGGCCGTTGCCCTATTCTTGTTTCACTTGCTGAGTGACCGCGGCAGACGAGAAAAAGGTCGAGCGCTTCTTGCGCAGCGCAAACTAATCACTACGCTTGTAGAAGAAGATAACGCAAATGAGGAGAGGTACGATCGGCTTGGCAGAGCCGTACAGCAGTGCGACGAACTTCAAGGATATTATCATGTGGTAAAGGCCATATTGCATGATATTGATGCAGCGCAGGACTGCCTTCAAAAGTACCGCTATCGCAGAATCCGGAATGGCATAGTGAATGTGCATATTGCTGAAAAGCTAGTTCTAAGTCGAAGGTACGGAGATAAGGTCTCCCAGTACTTCCAAGACCCATTCTTCGACTTGATATCAAATGATCCCCCCGGTATCAGCACACCTTCTAGAGCTCCGTCTTATCCAACTACCACAGACGGTAGGAGAATGAATGGTCAAGTGCGGCAGTATACCCCCAATATACCCACAACTGCCCTACCTGCTCAATCATATGTCCCGATAGTGCCTCCCCCACCCCGATTCCCACCAGGTACAGGATATGGGCCCTCCAATGTGACGACCTCTGCACACCAGAGCATTGGATATGAGGCATGGCGGAAAGAATCGCTCAAATGGATACCTCCACCTCCACCTCCACCTCCACCTCTACTTGCAGAGCGACTTCGACCTCCAGGGCCCCAGACGAGAAGCGCAACCTGGGTCCTCAAGGTGGTACTTTCGGTGGGAGCTATGGAATACCAGAGTTCAACTCGCATACTGCCCTTACGAATGAAAGCCGGGGGTGCGCACCAACGGGAGAGAGACAGCGACCACCAAACTATCAACCACAAGGCTACTACCCTCCTCGTGTAGCTTCATCTAACGATAATAATAATAACCGGTATTCCCCAAACCTGTCGCTAGCTACACGTCATGATGCGCAACAAGGAACTCAGGTTGGTCAGGAACCATCGTCCACTGCAGACTTAATATATAAGTTCCCGCGGTACAACAGCTCGGGCCCTGCTATAGATGGAGAGGGTTATGAATCAGATAAGCAAGATAACTTGCGTCTATCGCCACAAGAGACGCATGTCCGTCATCCCAGCGGCGACAATCCGTCATCCGACTCTTCCCAAGGCAAATTCCTTCCTTTTTGGAGAAAGAAGAAGAAAGAAGCAGACCCTACTTATCCACCGCCCGTAGAGGAATTTCTGGAGTCGCCAACCAGCCCAGTGAACATATGGCCAAACAGTTCTCCCCATATGTACGGGGGACCAAATTCCACCGATGTTGATTTGTCACTATGCGACGGTCCCCGAAATGCATTCGTTTCAAACGGCAAGCAGCTCTCCCCTCGGTCTGAATCCATGGATAAGGGGAAGAAGTGGGCACTGTTTACCTTGAACGGATTGGACTATCGTCCAGTTGATATCACGGATATAGACTCTGCCCAGACGCTGCGCGCCTCAATCTGCCAAAGTATCGGTATCCGTAGCCCTAATACTGTCGAGATATTCCTGACGGAGCCGGGGCAATCGGAGCATAACGAGCGGCTGAGTGATGTCAGTCTGGCGTCTGTCAAGAGAAAGAAAGCATATACTGGTGGTTCACTAAAGTTGCTTGTGTGTGACTCATCGATGCGCAATAACACACGTTGTGCACCGTCAAACTTCGCGGGTCATGGGATATCAGCCCCAGACGCGCTTTCCGCATCGTCACCAACGGCAGCTCAACACAACCTTACGGGGACAAAACCGGAAGAAGCCAATGACTGGCGTGCACACTCACCAGTGACACCTTTCTCCTCGCAGATAGCTACATCTAGGCGAGGCCGGGATGTATCGCAGGATCCAGCCAAATCATCATCCGTGGACGTCGTGGGTGACCAGTCTGATCAGGACGAGCTCGCCTCAGATGATCTCCTATATAGGGCTCAAGAACATCAACGTATCTTCGAGCGGAAACAACGGAACTATCGCAGAAAAAGGCCTCCCCCTCTCCTTTCAGACACTGATTACAGGCGAAGTGGCGTTATTGATTTCTGTTCTCCTCGAATATCACCTGAAGAAGATAACATAGGACCCTCTGTCGATGCACTACCTCAACGTAGGGCTCCACCCGCCCCTAGCGCATCATCGACCCTAAGGAAGGTCAATTCTCTCAAGGAGAAGTACAGGAGATCAGGGGGTCAACCCGGTCTAGGCGGCAATATGACAAGCGCAACTGGCGAGCCATCGACATCTGATGACGATAAAACGGAGGCTGTTTGGAAAGGCCCGGATTTTGACTTTGCAGGTAAGTGTCTCGCCTTTTATTGCGTCGCTGCGGTGTCTAATAACATTGTTAAGAAATGCCAGTACAATCAAAGCCACAAGAAGATTCCGAGGACGACTCGGAAGATGGCCTTTTTGCAGTACCATTAACTGATAGCCAGACTCCAACGACGGACAGAGGCTGTGATTCAGACGTCCAAACCCGGGAAAGCACACCTAGAAAACCGTACCTCGCTGTTGATACGGAGTCAGGGTTAAAAGAGGAGTTGATTGACCGCCTCACACTGTATGTCCCCGTATCCTCCTTCTAAGAGGGCGTTTTGCTAAGTGCATCAGGGAATCATCGGACCTACCTACTCCCCTTACCCAAGATCCACCCTGCGAAGTAGATCCAGAACGTGAATTCTTGGATGCGGAGCTTGACACCGAATATAAAGAGCGCTCTAGGGACGGACGAAAATCTCTCAACGAGACATCTCATAACTTGGAGAAATACTTATTGCGCTGGACGACACTCACGGTGGATGAACTGGCGATAGCGTGAGTGTAGTAGAATGCGAATAGCCGCATTTACACAATTGATCCAAACATCTATCTATCGCGTTTATACTTGATATCGCTTCATTGTCAAATGAAGTGCCTTTGTATTTTAATCTAATTTATTAGGGTCAAGTCCTTAGAACCTTTATTTATGGAGTTGAACCAGTTTTAGCGTAATTAAGACTATATACTACTCAACACAGTGGCAAGACAGAAGACATATATTCACCACAAACAGAGCGAGAATCGTATTATGCACAACCACCGCCGTGCAGACCAACCACTAGCAGAGCTACTAGTAGTTCAACAAAAGAACCCGAGGACGGCTACACCGGTACTTGGACGCGCACATCTCCGTGCACTACAAGTTCGGCTTCGGCTACATTTAATTCCTCACAGACCAAACCCGATGGATGCCCGTCCATGGTTCAACAAGCCAATTGTGAATTGGCAAGACCAAGCATTTATTGGCTCCCTACTGTCAGACACGATGATTGGATGGTCTGAAGACAAGCATGACAAGCATTTCCACACTTTCCCAACACGGCATTCTTTAGCGCTGCCCCGTGGAGTCCCGGATATGACGATGGGCAGAACTGTGGAGGAGGAATGGGAAAGTGTGGGGTTGTTTACCCGAAGTTGTCCCGGGGTAGGGCCTGTGTCACAATATGAGCATTCCTTTGTCGATTTGTTTTAAAGGGTAGCTTTACAGAATTGTTGATGACTAGGGATTCGTCGATGATATATAGCGGTGTCTATGTAACGGGGTACAATGAACATGATGACTGCTCGGTATACCGACGAAGCTCGCAGGAACTGACTCCCTGTTTGTGGTAACCGAGATGTCGGTGACTCGCCGATGTCAAGCCATTTTCAGGCTCCTCTATCGGCCGGCAACGAAGCCGTCTTACCCGATCCACCACTCCGGGGATGTAATCGGACGTCCGACTATACCGTCATGTAGTCAGTACCGGGAAATTTATGAACTACTTGGCTGTGGGGTGGCTCGCCGCTCGGCTGACGCCCGTACTGGACATGCTAGTGTAACCGGTTATAATTCATGGCATACCATTAGTTGCTAGTCACTCTTGAAGTCACTCATACTCGGCTCCCAGCAACATAACACCCCACGAGTGGATCTTTGAGTCCTCCGGGGCCCTCTGGGGTATCTCCGGGGTGGGATGTTCGAAGAAATACCTCAAATAAAGACATTTAAGAGAGAACCCATGTCCTTCTGAGTCTTGACTGAATCCAAGAACCTCGACATCCCGTCATGTTGTCACCACAAACTCTGTTTGGAGTGTTGGTGCTTCTCTCGGCTCCTTCGGTGGTAGCCGATACCTGTCAGGCACCAATTAACCACCCAGGGGAGCCTTTCAGTTATGTTCAGCCCCTTAACACCACTATCCTGAGTCCTTATGGTCACTATCCACCTGTGTATCCTTCACGTAAGTACCTTGATCAATTGCATAGGTTAGAGCTGTCGACTCTGACCTGACACTAAACAGCAAACACTACCGGCAATGGTGGCTGGGAAACAGCTTTGGTGAAGGCCAAAAACTGGGTAAACAAGCTCACGCTGGAAGAGAAAGCCTGGATGGCAACAGGCCAGCCCGGTCCCTGCGTTGGCAACGTTCTCCCTATTCCACGTCTCAATTTCAGCGGCATCTGCCTCCAGAATGGCCCTCAATGCGTGCAGCAGGGAGATTACTCCAGTGTCTTCGTCAGCAGCGTTTCAGCCGCCGCAAGCTGGGACCGCAAGTTGCTGTATGACAGAGCGTATGCATTGGCGGAGGAGCACAAAGCAAAAGGTTCCCATGTCATCTTGGGCCCCATCGGAGGACCTCTGGGCCGCAGTCCCTATGATGGTCGTACCTGGGAGGGCTTCGCTGCTGACCCTTACCTCACCGGAGTCTGCATGGAGGAGACGATCAACGGTATGCAAGATGCGGGTGTGCAAGCAAATGCAAAGCATTTCATTGCCAACGAGCAAGAGACGCAGCGCAACCCCACATATGCTCCGGATGCCAACGAGACCACCTATATTCAGGACTCCGTCTCTGCCAACATCGATGACCGTACTCTGCACGAGATCTATATGTGGCCGTTCGCAAACGCCGTTCGTGCCCGGGTGGCTAGTGCCATGTGCTCGTACAACCGGCTGAATGGCTCTCACTCGTGTCAGAACTCCTATCTTCTCAACCACCTTCTTAAGGGCGAGCTTGGCTTCCAGGGATATGTCATGTCTGACTGGGGCGCGACCCACAGTGGGGTAGCATCTATTGAAAGTGGAATGGACATGACCATGCCCGGCGGATTCACCCTCTATGGTGAGCTTTGGACCGAGGGATCCTTTTTCGGCAAGAACCTCACTCAAGCTGTGCAAAATGGCACTGTTCCAATGTCCCGTCTGGACGACATGATCGTGCGCATCATGACTCCTTATTTCTGGCTTGGCCAAGAGAAGGATTACCCAAGCGTGGACGCTTCCGTCGGCCCTCTCAATGTCGACTCAGCCCCCGACACCTGGCTGTATGACTGGAAGTTCACCGGTGCCACCAACCGTGACGTTCGGGCAAACCACAGCGCCATGATTCGCGAGCATGGAGCCCAGTCGACGGTTCTGCTCAAGAATGAACGCAACGCGTTGCCCCTCCGCAAGCCCCGTAACATTGTGGTCGCCGGAAACGACGCCGGCCCTCTCACGCAAGGTCCCAACCTTTCGGGCGACTTCGAGTATGGTGTCCTCGCAGGCTCCTCAGGCTCTGGTTCCTGCAGGTTTTCATACCTGTCAACTCCTCTTGACGCTATCAATGCTCGGGCCCGCAAGGATGGCTCCCTGGTCCAGTCCTATCTGAACAACACCCTGCTCGCCACGACAGCACTGACCTCCCCTCTATGGATCCCCCAGCAGCCCGACGTCTGCCTTGTCTTCCTCAAGTCCTTCTCCGCGGAAGGCGAAGATCGGACCTCGTTGGAGCTCGACTGGAACGGAAACGCCGTCGTGGAGGCCGTTGCCACCCACTGCAACAACACCATTGTGATCACCAACTCCGGCGGCGCCAACGTCATGCCCTTCGCCGACCATCCCAATGTCACCGCCATCCTGGCCCAGCACTACGCCGGCGAGGAGACCGGAAACGCCATTGCGGACGTCCTCTACGGCGACGTGAACCCCTCAGCCAAACTGCCCTACGTGATCGCCTACAACGAGTCGGACTACAACGCGCCCTTGACCACAGCCGTGCAGACCAACGGGACCTACGACTGGCAGAGCTGGTTCGACGAAGAGCTCGAGGTCGGGTACCGGTATTTTGACGCGCACAACATCTCCGTGCGTTACGAGTTCGGCTTCGGCCTGAGCTACACTACCTTCGACCTGAAAGACCTCAAACCTAAGGGCTCTGTCGCTGCTGCCAATCTGACCGCTCTCCCGGCTAAGCGGCCCACCGAGCCAGGCGGTAACCCCGCGCTCTGGGAAACGGTCTACACCCTGGAAGCCGAAGTGTCCAATACCGGAAATATTGATGGTTTCGCCGTCCCCCAGCTGTACGTTCAATTCCCTCCTTCCACGCCGGCTGGGACCCCGCCAAGCCAGCTGCGTGGATTCGACAAGATCTGGCTCGAGGCTGGTGAGACCAAGACCGTCTCGTTTGACTTGATGCGTCGGGATGTCAGTTACTGGGATGTCGTTGCCCAGGACTGGCGTGTTCCGGCTGGGGCTTTCACCTTCAAGGCTGGGTTTAGCAGCCGGGATTTCCGCGCGAGCAGTGTTGCGACGCTGGTCAAGGCATGATTATGATTATGACAAGACGTTATGGTTTTTGATCGATTTTGTAGGGGTCTTAAAAGGGTACTTGGAATGCGTGGAAGGGTTAATTGGAAGAGGAATGACATCTTTTTTGCAGATGTAGATAGAAATACTCGCAGGCTTTTAGGGCTGGATGTTGTATCGATACGCCTATCCGACTGAGACTATGTTAATTTTGATGCATCTGAGAATTGAATGACTTACCACACAAGCTTTCTCTAACATCCTCCTCACGGTCAAGATTTCAGCACCGCAATTCCACTGTTAGTTTGGTTCTCAGTCGGATCATGCTGTGGTGAAGATGTACAGTATAGAACAATGTGACGATAAGATAACGACGTACCACCGGAACCCAAAAGGGTAAATTTCCGACGGTGGAGATACTGAATGCCACCACGATCCACAGAAACCCTTCAAGGACCCATTGCGCGGGCAAATCGGTAGGAAGCGGATAAATAGATTTTGTATTTAAACGGTGAGGTACTGGGTATGCGATCTGGACTATATAAACCAGACTCGTCGTGTCTGGCGCGTGATCCAAAGTATTAAAAGTTTGTATCTATAGTCTATATCTGGGGAACTTGCGTCTACATCTACAGACACCTAGACAAGTACACACCTACCTCTACAAAACACAACACACATAATGTCCAGACCCCTAGAAGGCAAATTCGGCATCGTCACCGGCGGTTCGCGGGGTAAGCTCCAAGTCCCTATAACCCACCCACCCCTCGCTCAACTAACGAAACCCAGGAATCGGCGAAGCGATCGCGCGCAACCTCGCCTCGAAAGGCTGCTCCCTACTACTCAACTATACGTCCGCGAGCTCCCAATCGCGGACCGAGAACCTCTGCACGGAGCTCGCAAGCCAACACTCCATAAAATGCGTCTGTGTGCAGGCCGACCTGTTCCACACCGAAGAAGCAACCGCCACGATCCTCCAGGCCGCTAAGGACAACTTCACGGCGGGGGGCTCCCTCCAAGTCGACATCCTAATCAACAACGCGGGCGTGAGCAAGGACCGCTTCCTCAACGACGAGGAGAAGGGCCCCATGGACCGCGAGTACTTCAACTGGCATTACACCATTAATGTGCTGGCGCCGTTGCTGCTGACGCAGGCGGTGGCGCCGTTCTTGCCTACGGATCGCAGCGGGCGCATTGTCAATATCTCCAGCGTGTCGAGTAGCATCGGGTTCACGGGCCAGACGGTGTATGGGGGCACGAAGGCGGCGTTGGAGGCGATGACGCGCACTTGGGCGAGGGAGTTGGCGGATCGGGCGACGGTCAATGCGGTGAACCCGGGGCCGGTGATTGGGGATATGTATTTTGCTACTGGGGAGGCATTTTGGCAGCAGATGCAAGGGTTTATGGATAATACGCCGTTGAGTAAGGTGGTGGAGGGCGATGAGAAGATGAACAGCTTGACGGATGAGCAGCGGTATCTGATTAAGGAGAAGATGGGCGGTAGACGGCCGGCCTTTACTAGTGAGATTGCGGGGGTGGTGGGGATGTTGTGTACGCAGGATGGGCTGTGGTGTACGGGGAGTGTGGTGTGTGCCAATGGGGGCATGAAAATGGGTCTCTGATTTATGTTTGATGTTTCTTATGAGCAATTGGTATAGAATTAGAGTGTTTGGTTTCGTTTCGTTTGGTTTGGTTAATAAGTGTATATGTATTCATGTCCTGAAAGTAGGGCAAGGAATGCACATGAATACATTAGTCAAGTACCGACGTCATCCCTCGGACATTCCATCACCCCATTCATCTCCAACTCTTCTCCAGTCTCTACTGCAATTCAACCATCCCCATCGACTCAATTCCATCTCAACAGCAGAAAACGCAACTCTCTAACTGAGAAAGCAAGAAGACACCAACAATGCCTCCCCTGCGCACATCCTCCCTCCGTCTCCTCCGCCCTTCGCGGGCCATCGCCCCAACTCCCATCCGCAACCTCCGACCACTATCAACATGGCTTCCAAAACACCTTTCACCAGTCAAGATCACTACAACCAAGCCTCCCTCGCTTTCCCCCCCCCAATTCCCAACACAAACAAGATGGCGGTCAACTCAAACCTCCAGCGGCAAAAGCCAAGCTGACTTGATGGTCGAAGAACTCCAAGAGCTGTATACCCCCTCCCCTAATCCCATCTCCAGTCTTAAATAGAACGTCATACTAATTCAGACAAAAGCTACGAAACTGCTAAAGACGAATTCGAAATTGCAACCGACAGCACAAACGGCACAACCATCTACGCGGCCTCGGACCGGGAGTCGGCGCGCGACGCATTGAATCAGCTGAGCGCGGTGTTTGCGCTCTATACGACCGAGATGCCCTCGTATGACGAGTCGCAGCAGCCACAGCAGCCGCAGCCGGATGATTCTGGAAGTCAGATTGTATCGACGTATTTTGATCCTGCGGATATCAAGCCTGAGGTCCGCGCGGAGGTGAAGAGGAGGGTTGGGCAGCGGCTGAGGGAGTTGGAGAATGCGGTGGAGGCATTGGAGGAAAGGGCTAAGGATGATTAATTGCTAATTTAGTTGGTGGGTTTAATTTGGGAGGTAATAGATGGTAGATTGTTGCCAATGGTCGACGGCGACAACGTGATATTGCATTGTTGCCATTATTCCGTGAGATGCTTTTCCTCTGCTGATATAGCAAATGCATACTATACATGGCTTGTAACATAGGCGAATCGTCATCTGACAGCTCGTTAATCATCATATATCCAACCTAGGTATCTCATTTTCCGTTCCGCGAATAGTCCTGAATGTAATGTAAATCCGACCACTAGATATATATTCCAACTCCGGTCGCGCCATTCTCCGTGACTGTAGGGTGTAAAATAGGTATAATAGGGCCCGAGAACTCCAAACTCTAAACGATGGGGAAAGAGAGTGTAAACTGGTCCGAAACAGGTGACATCATGGTCGAACTGTCGTGTTTGTGGGTCGATTTCATGTGTCGCTTGAGTTGGTCTGCCATGGTCAGCATGGGGAAGGCCAGTAGGTGTTCAAGGCACTTACCAGGTCGAGTAAAGCTCTTGGTGCATCCTGGGTAAATGCATTTGTGTTTCCGTTCACCATGTGCTGTATCTGTTAGTATCGCAGCGGGCAACAAATGGACTGTAACATACTTAAGCGGTGGCTAGACATGTTTGATGACTGCAGGAATTATGTCAGTATTAGCATGCCTTACGTGGTGGATAGACTAGGCACTCACATCACCGGTCTGGAAGTTACAGCCGGGAAAGGTACACTTGAAAGGTTTCTCCCCAGTGTGCGTCCGTGAATGGGTTTCTATTCAGTTAGCACGAGTCATCTCACACCGTATAACTGTACATACTCAGTTCACTGCTGTCTGTGAAAGCCTTCCCGCATTCAGAGCACTTGTAGGGCTTCTCCCCCCGGTGGCTTCGTTCATGGCGTTCCAACGTTGCCTGTCGAGCGAAGAATTTGCCACAGACCGAGCATTTGAAATTCTTGTCTTCCTGGTATGTCAGTCACTGCCCGTGATGAGGGTGGGTGAGGACTTACAGTTGCTATGGGTCAGGAAATGGCCTTGTAATTTCGACTTCTGTGAGAAGGGTTCATCCGGACGGTGGCAGCCCTCCCAGCAGCAGTAATATCCGGTTCCCTTGGCGCCATTGATGGTTGACATATGTTGCGCGATCAGATGCTCCTGAAGAGTACAGGAATCAGAGAATTCTGCTCCGCAAATGGTCTTCACTCCACTTGACGTAGTGGTCCACTTGCAAATATGCACTTCGTTCTCGGTCGGGGTAATCGGGCTTGTCAGCACCGACGGTGTCCCGCCTTCCAGAGGGGGAGGGGTATCGCCCGGGCTGGATATCAATTGCGAGCTCACGCTGGACCGGGACTGGCGGGAGTATGGCGAATAATGTCCGTACGGATGCACATGAGCATGCGTGTGCGTGCGACATCGGTGGTGCGTGCGGCAAGGACCCCTCGGGGGGTTACTGTGGATATGTACCGGACTTTTCATGAGGTCGTTAAGATTAACATTAGGCGGGATATGGAAACAGGCGAATGAATTAGAATTAGCGTCGGGATTCGGTTTGTTAACATGGTCGCAGTTCGTGTTTTCGTGTACATGAAAGTTGTGACAGGCAGAAAGGTCAGGACACATTCCCAACATGTGGAATACATCTGCCGGATTAACGCCGTTCTGAACCGGGAACGGTTGGTGCATCATGTTGCCGTGAGCATCTTTAGAAGAGTCATGGAAATGAAAGTGAGGGAAACTGTGCGAGTGGCAATGGGCGACTGGGATGGAATGCTGAGGGAAGAGGGAGTCCATAGAGGCCTGAGGAGCCACCATCTCCGGAGTGACATTGCCCGTTGTTTTGGGTAGTTGTTCTCCTTGCGATTGTCCAACTGTGCATGCCGAAAGTAGCTCGTTGGATTCCAAATTAATGGGGCCTGCTAGCCCTAGAAGAGACTCAAGGGTATGGTCGGCAACAGTTGCATCGTTACCACTGTGACCAAAGCAATGTTCATCAAAGCAAAGAGCCTCGGCGTTCTCGCAGTGCGTATCGTCACAGCCATCATCGCAGTGGGTGTCCGCGCATGCGGTGTCATCGCACTCCACGAGCCCGTCACAAACCGAAGGACAAGTGATGGAGCAGTCGTCCATGTCGCAGCAGGCGTCGTCGACATGGCAGTGATCGAGCGAGGCGTCGTGCCCCTCGCCTGAGCAATCCCACTGAGATGTAGCGGGGGCATCAGACTGGCTCTCCGGTTCTTTCCCGTCTATATGAAAGGACTCCCAATGACACTCGAGGCAGTAATCGTCTTTTTTAGTGTGAGAAGCCATGGTGCACGGCAAACCCAACCGACGTCACTTGACGTCCGGACAGTTTTCTGGTACCCGGTAGAGAGATTAGACCGTTTGATTTGAATCCAGGAACAGAGTTCACGAAGGGTCAAACGCGAGTGCCACCCGGAGAGAAAGGAAGAGAAGAGTGAGGCGGGGAAATCACTCGGGGGTATAGGGTCCTTGTCCTTGAGCACTCCAGACTTCGCAAACGTTAGCCCACATCGCCACCACGCGATCGAGCAGAAGGTATAGCACATACCAATAAGAAAGATCGCAATCTTTGCCAGTTGCAGTATCCGCGGGATATAACCGAGATTGTCAACCAGGTTCAACCAGCCATGCACAGTGCGTCACGATCGCCTGGAATGGCCGGTGCAATTGGAAGCGAAAAAAACTGACCGCCTGGGGCATGAGGGACCAGAGGGGGCGAGGACCTTGGGAGCGTTCTGAGATGTATAAAATGAAGAGATCTTCAGTATAGAGTTATGATTCGCCTTGCGGTGATTCTATCACACATAAGTTTCAGTCACCAAATCCAGACGGCGGTTGAGGACCTTGGGAGAAAAGCGGCCGTGAGTACCCTGCGGGTTAGGGCGTCATTGCCCGCCTACCCTCGGCGAATGAGCGTGCCCAGATTTGCGAAGTTTCTGTTATCTGAAAACCAAGTTTTTCAGGCATTCGAAAAAAAGGTTTGCTGCGTATGTCTAGAGTAGGATAAGTAGTCTGTGACTGCCTCATTAGGTCAAGTGTGAGGGGGGTGAAGAAGAAAAAAAGGAAAAGAAAAAGCAAAACGCAAACGCAAATGAAAAGGCAGATTGCCTGTAAAATCAGGCTCCTCCTTGCTTTCCCACTTCCCCTGGCACCACTTTTTTCCCAGAACGGAACCCACTGATGTTCGTCGATGGTCTTATGAAACGCCGTATATCCATGGATCCATTGAACAAAGATAAGCTCGTAATAGACGACATACTGCCAGAAATAATCCTCCTCGTTCCAATAACAATTTTGGTACTCCGTAATAATGTTCTATATTAATTGATATGGGAGGATCGAGCCCCGGTCTACGTCCGTATCGGAGTTCAGATGAATGCGAATACCATGCGGGCCCCAAACCACGTGCACCCGCCGTTCTTACTCCAGATCGTCGTCCCCGAACGGTAGGCTACAACCTTATGACTTCTTATCTCCGTACATTCTTCAATCTCAACGGCTCGATCAACCTTCAATCGCATTACCCCACAACTAAATCTACCCAATCTGACATATCAATCACATCGATCGAGCCTACCAGCTCTGTTGGAACCCGTCACACAGCGAGACACATACACCGCATGGCCGATCACCACCACTAAACCCAATCAATCCTTCCCGTCCTCTCACCAATCCACCTAACTCCAAAGACAAACCAAACCAGAGAAATGGGAAACATTTGCTCCCGCTCCAAAAACCAACCCGAGGCCTTTTCCAGCCCCGGTCGCGTCTTGGGCTCCGCCAATCCTCCCCCCGGAGCAACAGGGAAATCCAGCTCCGGTCCGCGCGCCCGCTCCCCGCAAAGGCCAGTACGGGGAGGACCCTGGGCGGCGCGGGGGCTCCAGGGGTGGGCGCGGATACCGCTGATGCGCGGACGAATGCAGCGATTGCGGCCCAGGTGAGTTTACTTCTTCCTTTCCAGGAAAACTGTATTGTGTCGCGGTGCGAGATTATGTGCTAATGCGGGATGTATAGAAACGGGCCGAGTCTACTACGGCGGGCAACAAGGGCAAGTTAGGGTCAAAGTTGGCAGCTCAAAAGGCCCAGACACAGGCACAGACGTTAGGTCAGGCTAGTCGGGATGAAAGGGCTGCCAGGGATGCGGATAATGCTGCTTCGGCTAGAAGGTGGGAGTGATGGATGCATAGGTTACTTGGTTGCAGCTTGATTCTGGTCCGAGAATCGCCGGTGTCTGACTCTTTTTGTTTTTGTTTTTTTCTGCGTTTGGAGTTTGGCAGTTAGTGAGCGTTTGGATTGACTACAGTGATCTTTAGCGTGTCGTGGCTTTATTGTGGGCACGGGTACAGAGTACCCGTCGAGGAATTTGACTATGATACCCAAGCTTATAACAGAGAGTACGATTCGTTCCACAAGAATAAGATTCTGTATGTTCGGGATATGATACAGCTATATGTATGCGCTGATGCTTAAAGCACATTATAACGTCCTCCAACCGGAGCCCTTGCGTCGCTATCCGCAGCGGCGATGGTTCCCTCCTTGAGTAACCGCATCAACTCGCGCATGGCGTTCGTCACAGACAACTCAGTTTCACCCTCAACAAGGATATACAGTTTGGGGTTCTCTCCGGGACCTGGCTCCTTGCCAGTGGCATAGAAACTACCTTTCGTGGTAATGGATGTCCCTGTGGCTTCGAGAATCTTAGCCACGTTCGTACGATTAGTGACTGCCCACCGAGCTTTCTCTGTTGTGTGAGACCATATTAGTAGCTGGATTAGACTCGACGATAAAAGTCAATAGCAGGGGACAAACTTACGGGGAAAGTCATTGATCTCAAGCGTAGCATGGAAAGCTCCGGCATCAGGACCGCGGTTATCGATGGGCACTCCAGACCTCATCACACCAGCACGACTCAAACGAGCGTGAATATCAGCAACTGCCGAGCCCACCTTGTCCAGTGGGTTCTTCGAACCATTGGCCTCCTTTTCAGTCTTGTGCACGGTGATCTTGCCGTCCAGATCAATACCCTTGGGAACGCCAGGTAGGCTTGGCGCAGCGGCGGATTGAACCGATGAGAGAGCCTTGTTGAACCGTTCTTCGGCCTGTTCATTCTTCTCATCCTTTTCTTCCTCTTCTTCGCCTTCGTCGCCTGTCTTATAGGTCTTGCGCTCACGCATACGAGCAGCATCTCGCTCCTGATCAAGGCGTTCCAGACCCTTTCCACCAAACCCAGACGCACTGGCCTTTTCTTTACCTGCTTTGACCTTCTCTAAGAAGGAGTCAACCATCTTTTGCACAGGCTCCGGCACAGACTGTCCGCTCTGCTTCAACGCCTTAGCAATATCAACAGAGTACCGCTCCTGGTCTTCTGTCAGGAACGTAACCGCCGTACCAGTATTACCAGCTCGGCCAGTTCGTCCAGCACGGTGCACATAGTCTTCGAGGTGGTTCGGCGCATCATAGTTCACCACGAGTTTGAGTTGTTTCACATCCAAACCACGGGCCGCAACGGATGTGGCAATCAAAACCGGGAAGATACCTGCTTTAAAGTCTTCGATGGTGGAGTCACGGTCAATCTGATCCTTACCTCCATGAATGGACATGCAAGGATAACCCTTACGCATCAACTCACGAAGTAGTGTATCGGCGCCCTCCTGACGTTCAACGAAGATCAACGCCCGTGCGTCTTCATTTTCATCGCTAGAGTACAGGTTACCCAGAAGCTCAAGAAGCCGGATGAACTTCTTGTCCTCACTCCGCACTTCCACTATCTGTGTGATCTCAGGCGCAACAACGCTTCTACCGCCAACCACGATTTCAACGGGCTTGTTCAAGGTCTTACGAGCCAGTGCTTCCATATTGCGCGGGAAGGTAGCAGAGAACAAGACAGTCTGTTTATCAGGTCGGACGTTGGCCAAGATCTTCATGACTTGGGGCTCAAAACCCATATCGAACATGCGATCAGCTTCGTCCAAGACCACATATGTGACCCGGCGCAAGTTTGTAACTCTACCAGCATTCGCTGCTAGCAAATCAATCATACGCCCGGGTGTGCAGACAATAATCTCCGCGCCACGCTTTAGGTCAGCAATTTGGTCTTTGATCGGAGCGCCACCGTAGGCACAAACTGCACGAAGATTCAGGGCTTTTAAGAACGGTTTACAATCTTTATGAATCTGAGTTGCCAGTTCACGAGTCGGTGTCATTATGAGACCAACAGGGCCTTCCATGTTCTCCAACGGACGCTGATCCTTGATATGCCGAAACATAGGGATCAAAAATGCAATCGTTTTACCCGAACCAGTCTTCGCTACACCGATCACATCACGGCCAGACATAATAGCAGGGATGGCTTGCGCTTGGATCGAAGTGGGTGCAGTATAGCCCAGTCTATCGATCACGTCCAGGGTTTGCACACCCAAACCACACTGAGACCATTTCGATACTGGCCTTGGAACCTCCACACCGCGGACTTTAATGCCGTCAAGCTCCAACCGCAGACTAGCAGCCTCTTCCTCGGACATCGCTGCCAAGTCAGAAGGCTCAGTGTAAAACTTCTTGCGAAAAGGCTCGTATTCCACCTTCTTGTGATCAACAGTTGGGATATCCTTCTTCTTTTTGGCCTTGTTAGCAATAGCAAGGAAATCATCTGCATCGCCGTCACCAACAGCGGTCATGTCCATATCATTCTCGTCTCCAAAGAGAGCCTCGGGCTGTTGTGCTTTGGCTTTCGCGAACTTGGCGCCAATCGTCTTTTTCGGAGGGGCAGACTCCGCTAATTCAGACATGAAGGCATCGAGGGGATCCACTTCTTCCTCTTCTTGTGCGTCCACTTCCATCTTGTCGGGCGCTTGTTGATTCGACGCATCGCCCATCTGTACGTCGCCATTTGATTGAGAATCACGGGCCTCATTCTGTAGTCGCTCTTCTCTCCTCTCTGCAGCCGCCCGTGCGGCGGCTGCATTTTCCTCCTCAGTATCACCATCCTGCATGTCGACGTCATCGTCGTCTTCTACTGTCACATCATCTTCCTTATTAGCGTCTTTGGTGTCATCCAACGGAGGAGTCGGCAATCGCTCCAACTTTCGCCGAGTGGATTCTTCTTCGCCAAAACCTAGAGTCTTCGTCGCTGACGCTTTCTCAGTATCTGTGGCCTGCTTGGTTCCAAAACCGAACTTCCCCACGTTTCCCTTTACTTTCAAAGCTGCAGATGTCGTGTTAGTGGATTCTAAGTTAGAATGAGCAAAAGGCTGAGACATACACGAAGCTTTGCTTGTAGAAGCAGGAGGTTTGTTAGCTTGAACCTGTGTCTTTGTGGAAGGGAAGGTAGCAGATGTCTTAGCGGACGGCGGAACAGCAATATCATCCCCCAGCACAGACTTCACAGCTGGCGCCGGTGCGGCATTCTTTGCAATCGCCTTCGGGTCAAACTTTCCAGCATACGCGGCTGGGGCAGCATCAATGGGCGTCGCGGGAGACTGGGGGGACCCAACAGCTGGTGATAAACCTGACTTTCTGTCGATCTCTTCCAAGATGCTTCTGGTCCCACCAGCTGCGGCCGCTTCTCGCTGTTTGCGTTCCTTCTCGGCGGCTTGCTTTTGCTTCCAAGCTTCGAGCTTGGCCAGCCTTTCGGCTCGCTTTTCGTCTTCTGTCGGACCAGTATTGGCCGCTGGCGTCGAAGGCTTCGATGTCTGTGGAATGAAACGGTTGATAAGAACCCGGCTATGGAATTGAAGGGGACCATATGCGCTTACCTCTCGAGACCTGGGAACGGAATCTCTGGCCCGCTCCCGGCTATCATCCCGTCTAGACTTGTGTTTCAAGTCAGCAGAATCATCTGTCCGTCTCCGAGCCCTGTCGCGGGAGTCATCTCGCCTGCTTCGAAAGTCTCTATCGCGACTCCTGCGACGGTAATCCCGATCATCATCTCTATCTCTTGACCGACGTCGATCGCGGGAACGATCCCGTCGACTTGGTCTGTACGTATCTTCATCACGGTAATCGGCGCGTCTGTCTAGCGAGCGGTCACGTCTACGATATGAATCACGGTCACGTTCACGTTCACGGTCACGGAATCGCTTCTGAGGGTAGAGATTAGAAAGATAAGGATAGCGTTGGAGCATTAAATTGACATACCTCAGGGCTGCGAGATCTTCGGTAGCTCCGCCCATCGTCTCGTCTACTCCTCTCATATCGATCATCATCTCTGCGACTCCGTCTGGACGAAGAATATGTGCTGCCTACAGGTGATGGTGAGCGAGTATCCCCGTGGCGACCCATTGTTGCAGGCCAGCGATGAGTGAGTATTACTGAAGCTCAAAGGAATTCGAGTACGCGAAGTAAATATCAGAGCAATTATCACCCTTCCATTAAAAGCAAGGCTCTGTTGTTATAGAATCAGTAAAGGTCGGATTGAGCGCGGTGGCGAGGTTTGGCGGCTTCCGAAGCGCGGAGATATGGTTCTCCATCTATGCTTTTTTCAGGTGTACCTTATCCTCAACCCAAAAGTCCGTCCTATCTATCACGTGAAGTGATAGCTGGTAGCACGTAGCTACGATCACGTGTGTGTACCTTCCTATTTCGGGTTACCCCCCAAGCTACCACTGACGCGACTCCAACCTCCCGCATTCGTCTTAGAGCTCTGGCAGCTTAGGTCCCTGCAGCAGAAACTCCTACTGTCTTGGAGCTTGTGCTCTCCTGTCTTTGTTTAGTAGCACTTACATGCTACACTGTTGGCTCTATTCCCAATTGCAGTTAGTTAGTTTCCTCGCATTGTTTTGAATCATGCCTTTGAATCTAGCTCGGCGTGGAGGAGCCATCCTCCGGAACCTGCATCTTAGCGATGCATTCTCTCGTCCTATCCATGTAGCTGTTTCCCAGAGTCACATCAGGCGCATTTCCTTGATTACGCGCGGTAAGACTTTGCGCCCAATTTCCAGGGCACCTTCGGCGACCAGCGTGCTCTCGCAGCGCCTACTTAAGACCTACGCGACCACGACTGAGAGCAAGAGCGAGAAGACAAAACCTGCCAAAACCACCAAGGGCGAAAAGGGGACCAAGAAAACAAAGACCAAGAAGAGCTCAACGAAGCCCAAACCCAAACCGAAGCCAAGAAAGCCATTGACGGAGGAGCAAAAGGAGGCCAGGAAGGAGGCCAGGAAGGCACAGAAGCTCAAGGATCATATTAAGGCCCTCAAAGTTACTGCGCTGCAGGCACCAAAGAAACTGCCAGAACGCGTGGCTAATTTGATCATTATGCAAAAGCTTCAAGAAACACTGAAGACACACAAGACCCCGCAAGAGGCATTTAAAGCTGCTAGTGAGCTTGGTAGGACAATCAGTGAGGAAGAGCGAGAGGTTCGTCTGGCACTCCAATAGATTGTGGCTGTGTATAAATCACTGACTACATATGACAGCGCCTCAATGCGATTGCAGAGTCCAACAGAAACGCTAATGAAGCTGCATACGACCAATGGATCAAATCCCACACACCACTTCAGATCAAGGAAGCAAATCTCGCACGTAACAGATTGACAAAACTCACGAAAAAGAAGTATCCCCCTCTTCGCGATGACCGATTGGTTAAGCGTCCTTCCTCTTCTTATGTCTTCTTCTACCTTGAACGCACCGGTCAGGGCGACTTCAAGCACATGACCGTCAAGGACATTGGTGCACGGGTCGCAGAGGAATGGAAAGGCTTGACGGAATCGGAGAAAGAGGTACACCTGCCACTGCCTTGTAAAGATGATACACCTACGTGGACGAGGCTAACATAGACCAGAAATACTACAAGCTTCACCTCGCCGACAGAGAACGTTATGACCGCCAGTACCAAGAGGTATACGGCGAGGAGGCACCTAAGCTGCGAAAGTCCCCCGAGTAAGAGTTTATAGAAGTAAAGTTCGTAAACTTTTGCTTTAGCCTAAGGGACTGCGGCGATCTTTGAATCTGGATGAGTGATTGGAGATGACCGATTTCTCTGGTGAATTCGATTGGTGTGCCTTCCTACCATCATCCTTCTTTCGTCTGTTTGTGTCTCAGGTGTTCAAGGTTTTTTGGTTACCTTGTATTCTATTTTAAGTTGTGATGTGCTGAGTTCAAGTGTTGCTACCAATATCATTATACCACGAATTGCAGGTCAGTTCTCACTCATGCTCGTACGCTGCTGTGTTTGTTTCAATCCAGGACCTCTCCGCTCTGGTCAGTTCATCAACAGAGTTCAGATTGAATATTGTAGTAGACAATGTCGCCTCTATAATCCAAAGGCCAAGACAAGTTCAAGAAGACGATGACGTTGCACAAGCAGAGCTGTTCCTGGTGTTGGATTCGATTCTGCATATGCAGTGATAGACGGAGGTTCGATACTCCCTGGTCACTTGCATTTATCATCATACTATGTAACACAGCAGATTATTCATGACGGATCACTGTAGTAGATGGAACAGCTGCATTGGACACGGTGGTCCTTTGGCCGACATGCAAGTAGGTTTATCTCCGGTCCATGTAGGGTCTAGACGACTTTGATTACGAGAGGGAGCAAGTTTGGCGTGTATTGTTGGGGCTGCAGTCGGGTATACGTGGGAGATATATAATCTGCATTCCGCGGGTTTCTACCCCATCTGTTTACTGAATCGGGAAGGGGATGGGTCCTACTGATTTGTTTATATTAGACTCTTACAGACAGATACCCGTGAGTCATAGAGGTTCTGCATGAATTATGGGCCAGAGAGATGCATAACTCCGAGGATATTCATGAGTCACTCGCTGGCAATGGGTATTGAGGGACATGATGTATGTACATGTACGTCCTATGACGCTGCCAAGAGGGACGAAAACACATGCGGTAAGGCACCGTCTCCCGACGAGGACTAAGGCACCAATCTACGGATACGGTTAGCGTCGTCTGTCATGGGATTCCTTTGAGTATCAGAAATGAGTATGGAGTCAGGCACTCGGGCGAAGCGCGATAGCCTGCAGTAGAGTTTGACAACTGTCAAAACTAAAAGAAGTAACGACGGATCACCCTGCCTCAGAACCGGCAATCCTTCATCAGGAGACGTAAGACGAAAATGGGGGGAAAGGGCTCCATCGTGAACGTGCGTTCTCATAGGCTCACGGTGGATCTTCGCCTTTGTTGCGGTGAAGAAAACCGATAGCGGTAGAATCTTTCGCTCGAAGTACCTCAACGCTTTTCTCCTCCTTACCCGAGGTTCTCGCTGCTTTTCGAAGACTGTACGGAATTTGGTCTCCTGCTGCCCGAAGACCTTTGGCTCCATAATTGTGCAGTGGTTGTTTCACAGGTGAGCGATTGTTAGTAAATCTCCTCCATTGTTTTGATCGTTGGTCCCTGGTTGTTGCCTCGTAGCCTGAGTCCAATTTACTCAGTTTTAGCAGTTTTAGTATGGTGCTACACTTGACTCAGTAAGGGTAGTTTCTCTTAGTAGTCTCTTTTACTACGTCTTCAATGCGAGGTCATAACACGTTTGAATTACCTTTTTTTTTTTCTTTTTTTTGAGAATTGTTTGCTGCAGGATATTGGGATTTCTATATTCCCTTCCATCTACATCTTTGACCGGGACCAATCACAGAATTGGTATAACAGTTCCTCCTCCTACCAGGGAATAAGGTAGAGGAGTTCCTGTGCAATCCTCCAACCTCCCCGAGGTGAACCACGGAACCGATCATCTCTACTTTTAGCTTCCTTGGACCGGAACACTAGGGACTGATCTGTTGTTCCCTTGGGAACCCCACTTTAATGGGACAACAAACGCTCTATCCGAAGGTACGCCGTATGTATGTACGATGCAATGGGAGTGACTCGACCTGCTTAATGTACATATCCTACTGACCATTAAGGCATAAAAGAAACATATATACCTAATCTAGATCGCACTTGAGTGTCAGCGCTTTCACCACCATTTGTTGTTCGTTGTACACCAGTGTCCATTATATCCGCCGAGAAGGAGGGGTGGAATCTTTATCGATAGGACCGTCGACTCACATTCCCCCGGTCTCTGCGCGCAATCCTACCGCGTGTGTAAGTGGCCTGTGCCTGCGTGACTTCTCACCTTGCATCCTTTTTTCCTTTGCTCCTTGTTCACTAGCTGGTCTATGACTGAAAATATTTGCGAATTTTAATGCTCCAAATTCAGTTAGAGGCTTTCTTGACCACTTGGACTCGGTTTGGTTGGCTCATCCGCCCAGCCACCGTTTTACTATCTGACCCGTCGGGGATCAAAGATACTATCGCATACAATTCTTCCGTACCACGCAGATCAACGCGCAACACAGGTTATTATTTCAAGGTAATAAAGTATAATCTTAAAATTAACAGAGAAAAATTTTTTTTTTTTTTCCCTGCGCAACCGCCGCTGACTTGCTGATGTATGTACCAAAACTAGTTCACATTCCTAGCTGTCCATCACATACCCATTCGCCCAATCCTATCTGTGATCCAGGGACTGATCTCCAGCAACATTGCTTTCCTTTCCTTTTTTCCCACCGCCTCGTGGTCATGAGCTCTATGACCTCTTTTTCGCTCCCTGTTTCTTCCTCCTGCTGAACTCTTTCTTCCATCTCTGCATACACTTTCCTTTTCACCTCAAACACGCCGTCTAATGCCGTGTGCTCTCTGATTGTTCACGGCTTTTGTCGCAAATCTAGTTGGTTATCCGTTGGTATACCGATCGCGCTAACATTTGCATCGTGTGACCAGCTTTGGTTACAAGCATTATATTCTAGTGGAAACTTTTTTCATCTTAGTCCTTTTATTTTTCTTTTTTTTTCTCCCTTTCATTCTTTGTCCCCGCCATTTACGCAGTCTGTTGCTGCGACGTTCCGAACGATTTAACCCAGAACTTCAATATTCTTCTGGAACCAGCGGCAGCCTCAATTGAGGCCGGAAGTTCTTGATATCCATGCGCCTCGCATAGTTGAGTCGACCGCCGTGCAAACACTGGTCCGTTACCCCAGTATGGAAAGTATGCGCATTGTTCGCCATGATGGACTCGAAGTCGGCTCCGAGAAGCCTCTATACTCCCATTGTTGTTTAGTCGGCAATGAGCAGAAAAACGAATCCCCGGTCCAGTCACGAATACCCAGACACAATGAGCGATTTTCCAAAACAGCTCTGGCTCTCGAGATAGAGCTCCATACGCCAAACCCTCGCCCCTACGATCAACCCCCTCCATCCTATGACGATGCTATCAAAGACTTGCCTCCCGATTACTCTACGCTTGCGCCGTTGGCCAAGCAGAAAAACTTGTGTGGTGGATGCACGCCCTCGATAGGAACAAAAGATCCGACGGCTAGATCTAAGTCCCCTCTGGTCAATCTAGACCATCCGTTTGGTATACGAGAACATAAGGGGGCAGGCAAGAAGAAGAAAGCAAAGCAAGCCGCAGCACAACAGAGTACTCCGCCGCCGAATGACGATGGTGATAAAAGCCCACCCCCCGATGAAAACCAGAGTGGTGGGGACGGCGGAAGCAACGCAGGTGGATCGGGAGATGGGGATGGGGGCAACGATGGTGATGGAGGTGGCGGTGATGGCGGAGACGACGATGGTTGGGGAGATGCATGGAATACAGCCAGCAAGAAAAAGGACAAGAAGAAGAAAAAAGAGGAAGAAGAGGAGAAAAAGGCCGCAGAAGAAGCGGCAGTAGCCGAAGCAGCAGCTAATGCTAATAGCAATGATCTTAGCTGGGCAAACGATGGTAGTGGAAATGGCGATGATTCGTGGGCAGATTTTGCTCCGGCAGGAAAGAAGAAGAATAAAAAGAAGGACCAAGTACGATTCCCCTTTGATTTAGAGTATCATCACTAATTCCTTCATAGGGTGCTACTCTGATTGACACCGACCCCCCTCCAATTCTTTTCAGGATATTAATTTAGGTGGCAATACATCTCCACCAAACCTAAGCCTAGACCCCTTTGGAGGAAAATCTACTGGCGGGGGCATGGAGTTTGGCGGATGGGATAAGAGTTGGAATACGGGGAGTAAATGGGGCCTCGACTCTCTTGGTGGCACAAACGGGGACAAGGCACAGAATACCAACCCGTGGTCATTTGGTTCGGCTGATCCTTTGAATGCTTCAGTCGGATTTGGCTTTGGTTTTGGAGCTCCTCCTGGTCCTAGCAATGGAGATATCGGGACACCTGAAAAGAAGGATGACTGGGGCCTCCTGGATACTAAAAAAAAGACTGAACCAGAGCCGGAAATGGCTGATGACGATAATTGGGGCTGGGGCGTCTCAACTAAGAAGAAAGATAAGAAAAAGAAGAATGGTGCTATTCTCGAGGAGTTGGAACCAGTAGTGGAGGCTCCCCCAGTAGTCGCAGATCCACCGCCGGAGCCCATTCATGAAGAGAAAAAGGAGGAGGATGACTGGACAGGCTGGAATGTCCCCACAAAGGAGAAGAAAAAGAAGGGTAAAGGTACAGCAGAGCCTGAGCCCGAGCCCGAGCCAGTGCTGGAACCCGAGCCCGAACCGAAGCCTGCACCAGAACCAGCACCAGAGCCTAAGCTGCCTGATGATCCACTCTACAATAACTGGGACACGCTATCATCGAAAGACAGAAAGAAACGAGAGAAGTCTCTGGTCAAGAAAGGTCTTCCTATACCTGGTAAGGACTTTGAATGGCCACCGCGTGTGCCAGCCGCGCCTGTCGAAGAGCCCGAGCCAGAACACCAACCGGAACCTGAGCCTAAACCAACGCCCGAGCCTGAGCCTGAGCCACCAGCTGAACCTGAACCGGAGCCGGCCCCAGAGCCAGAGCCCGCAGCAGAACCAGAGCCAGAACCAGCGTCTGAAGCTAAGCTGCCAGATGACGCACTCTATAATAACTGGGACAATCTTTCATCAAAAGATAGGAAGAAACGCGAGAAGTCTTTGATAAAGAAAGGCCTCCCAATTCCCGGGAAAGATTTTGAGTGGCCACCACCTGCACCTGCACCTGCATCTGTACCTGCAGCGGAAGAGCCAGTTCCAGAGCCGGAACACCAACCAGAGCCAGAACCTGTCGTTGAGCCAGAACCGGAACCTGCGGCTGCACCCGAACCAGAGCCAACACCCGAACCGGAGCCAGTAGCTGAGCCAGAACCACAGCCTGCGCCCGAAGCTAAACTGCCAGACGACCCACTCTACAATAATTGGGATGATCTTTCATCCAAGGACCGAAAAAAGCGCGAGAAGTCATTGATTAAGAAAGGCCTCCCAGTTCCTGGTAAGGATTTCCCATGGCCTCCGCCTCCGCCACCAGAGCCTGTATTAGAGGAGCCAGCAGCAGAACCAATAGTAGAAGAAGTGCCTGAACCAGTGGTGGAGCCAGAGCCAGAACCAGAACCGGAGCCAGTACTTGAGCCTGAACCTGAACCTGAGCCTGAGCCTGAGCCCGCACAACCTGTGTCCGAAGCTAAACTACCGGACGATCCTCTCTACAACAATTGGGACGATCTTTCATCTAAGGATCGGAAGAAGCGTGAGAAATCGTTGGTGAAAAAGGGTCTACCAATTCCTGGCAAGGACTTCGACTGGCCACCAGCTCCACCGCCAGAGCCTGTGGTAGAAGAACCCGTGTACGAGCCAGAGCCAGAGCCAGAGCCAGAGCCAGAGCCAGAGCCAGAGCCAGAACCAGTACTTGAACCGGAACCTGAACCTGAGCCTGAGCCTGAGCCTGAACCTGAACCTCAAACTGAGTTTGAACCGGAACCAGCACCCAAGGCTCCATCACTGCCAGACGACCCGCTTTATAATAACTGGGACGACCTCTCATCGAAGGACCGGAAAAAGCGCGAGAAATCGCTGATAAAGAAGGGTCTGCCAGTTCCTGGTAAGGATTTTGACTGGCCACCACCTCCACCACCAGAGCCAGTGGTGGAAGAGCCTGTACAAGAGCCAGTCCCAGAACCAGAGCCGGTAGTTGAACCTGAACCTGAACCTACTCCCGAGCCCGAGCCCGAGCCCGAGCCTCAAGCTGAATTTGAACCGGAGCCAGAGCCAGAACCGGAACCAGCACCCAAGGCTCCATCACTGCCAGATGACCCGCTTTATGATAACTGGGACGACCTCTCATCGAAGGACCGGAAAAGGCGCGAGAAATCGCTGATAAAGAAGGGTCTGCCTATTCCAGGTAAGGATTTCGACTGGCCACCCCCTCCGCCGCCGGAGCCACTGGTGGAGGAGCCCATGCGAGATCCAGTACCGGAGCTAGAGCCAGAGCCAGAACCGGAGCCCGTTCCTGAACCCCTTCCTGAAGAGCTCGAGCCTCAAGCTGAGCCTGAACCAGAACCACAACCGGAACCCCAGGCTACTCCATCATTGCCAGATGACCCACTCTACAATAACTGGGATTCTCTCTCCTCCAAGGATCGAAAGAAGCGAGAGAAATCATTAATTAAGAAAGGGTTGCCTATTCCTGGTAAGGACTTCGAGTGGCCACCACAAGTGGCACCTGTAGCAGAGGAACCTGTACAAGAACCAGAGCCAGAGCATATCCCTGAATCCGTTCCTGAGAAAGCGCCAGAGCCAGAGGTAATTCCTGAACCGATTACCGAAGAGCCAGTTGACGATAGCTGGGGCGTCTGGGCTCCTCCAAAGGATAAGAAGAAATCCAAGAAGAGTAAGGAACCTCCACCGCCGGCGCCTACTCCACCTTCTCTGGGATTATCGCCTGAACCCGACGCGTTTGACAGTATACCAGAGGAGCCTCTCTGGGATGACTTTAGCACAGGGCCTTCCAAAGAGAAGAGTTTTGTTACGGAGGAAAAGCAGTCGAAGCCAGCCAGAGGGTTCTGGGCAAGCTTTGGAGCAGCTGCGATGGGAATGCCTAAGGCCACTAAAAAGAAGTCGGCAGACAAGCCAAAATCCGCCGAGCAAATGAAAGAGCCGGAACCCCAGCCCGAGGATGATCTGCTTATTGATGTAGGGGATGTGCCGAGAGAGGCTGGTGCGGCTGACGCGGCTGACGCGCCAGTCGCAGAAGTCGCAGAACCTCAGCCAACCGCGCCGCCAACAAAGACACCTGTTGTCACCTCAAAGACCAAGTCATCAACCAAGAACTCTGTCGCAGAGCGCATTAAGGCCCTTGAAGAGAAAAAGAAAGAAAAGTCCAAGGGAAAGTCGGCAGAAAAATCAAAAGCGAAGGAGGTGCCGCTACCAGCAGAGGATCCTTGGGAGCCTCCGCAGGAGCCTGCGCCGGAGCCAGAACCCGAACCCGAACCGGTCATAGAGAGAAGGATCTTACGAGACACCGTACCAGGAAGCTTTCCAGACGCTTTTGACGACGATTTCGATGACCTCCCACCTCCTGCCCCAGAACCACCAGCAGAGCCGGAAATACAGCCTGAGCCCGAGCCCGAGCCTCAACCTGAACCAGAACCAGAAAGGCAGCCAGAAGTCGAGCCTGAGCCAGTAGTATTGTCCAAAAAGGTCAAGAAGAAAGACAAAAAGAAATCAAAGACTGTTGTTCCCGAGCCTCAGCCGCCTGCTCCAGAGCCTCCGGCACCCGAACTACCAGCAGAGCCAGAGCCTGCGCCGGAGCCCGCGCCACCAGAAGAGGTTGTGCCTGTGGCTGAGCCTGAGCCAGAACCAGCTCCTGACCCAGCGCCCATACTACTACCCAAAGCGGAAAAGAAAAAGAAGAAGGCTAAGGCTGTTGAGCCGCAACCCGCACCAGAACCCGAACCAGAGCCGGTACCCTCACCCAAAGTCGAAAAGAAGAAAAAGAAGGCTAAGGCGGTTGAGCCCCAACCTGTACCCGAACCAGAGCCAGCTCCAGAATCCGTGCGAGCGCTTGATCCCGAACCTGAACCCGAGCCTGTCCCTGTCAATGTGCCGGAGCCTGAGCCCGAGCCAGCGTTTGAGCCCGCTGAGCCGCCTGCCCCAGAGCCTGAGAAGCCCATGAAGAAAGTCAGGAAAAGTAGAAGGTCAGTGCCAGTTCCAGAACCACCACCAGCTCCTCCAGCAGAAGCCCCAGTGGCCGATGCTCCAGAGGAAGCTGCTGGGGGTCATCCGACACCGCCACCCGAACCAGTTGCACCGGAGCGAGGAGCAAGGAAGGAACGTCCACGCGTTGAACGTGCTCCTGGTAGCACGTCTTGGGATATGTGGGGTGCGGCAGCCCCACCGAGGAGATCGGATCATAGGGAAGAGAAGCATAGAAGAAGGGAGCAGTCACCATCGGGAATGGGAAGATCCAAGTCCACTAGGCACTCAAGGCCACGGGAACCAGAGGACGAGGTAGAGAGATCGCTGGAACCCGAGGAGGACAGGCAACGGGAACCTGCACACGGTCGGGGTGCGGCATTCTCGAATTTCATTTTCGGCGCACCACCGCCGCCTACCAGAACAAAGTCTAGCAGGAGACATGGCGAGTACCCTCCAAGGCACACGTCACGGCGCCCGCCTGTGGATACGGATGACACTGGATTCCCATCGCCACCACCGGATGAGCAGTTGGAGATGCCTGATAAGGCTGCCCGCATGATGGGTGCTCCTCCATCTGGGTCAAGACGAGAGAGACCGCGTGACACGCGCAAGAGATCCAGTATGGCCCTCTATATTCGCCTCACTCTTTATTAAGTTTACTAACACGATTATCGTAGGTGCTCGTGATCCATATGCTATCGACGACGAAGACATCGTCATGGTCAATCGGGATGATGCCGACGGTGAGCCCAAGGCTCCCTCTAGAGAGTCGCGACATTCGGAACGACGGTCGAGGAAGAAGGTAAGCGAGCAGCGTCGCCTGCGACTGATACCAAAACAAGTTGGAACAAGAGCTAATGTCGCTTTCAAAATTTAGTCACGATCACGGCAGGGAGACCTCCAGGAGGATGCTGTCATGGTCGATGCAGATCCAGCCCAGCAAAGTCCAGACATTGTTTCCGGACCCGATGACATGGCATTTGTGGAGGCTCCGAGGGAACGGCGTTTAAGACGATCAAATACCGCCCCCAAGAAACAAGAGACTGGTGGTCTCATGGGGTTGATCGGAACATTGCGTCAACATATTCGCCCTGAGCTCCCTGAACGTCAAAAGTCTAGGTCTTACCGGGACGAGGATGCCCGGTATATGACGGAGCCAGAGCGAGAAGATGCTCGGCGCCAGAGACGGGAAGAGAGGAGAAGTCGTGCAATGAGACCGGATCCTGACCGTGAGGGCTATGCTACCGATGCTGGGCCGGCAATGGCTGTCCCAGAAATTCAGATAGAAGATGTCGATGCTAGGAGAGAGGCGCGCAGAGCACGACGCGCTTCTCGACAAGGCGACGTCGATCCGTATCGAGATGCCGAGTTCCAAGAAGCCGAAGAACGCCGAGCAAGACGACGAGAAAGGCAAAGGGCCCGCGAGCGCGAGATGCAAGAAATGCAACTCCGAGAGGAAGAGGAGAGAGCACAGCGACGCCGAGAGGAGAAGATGGCTCGCCGGGCTGCTCGTGAAGAGCGCCGTGCGCGGGAGGAGCAAGAAGCCCGAGAGGCGGAAGCGCAGGCACAGGAAGCCCGAGAAGCGGAGGCCCGCGAAGCCAAGGCTGCCGAACGCCGTGAACGGAGGCGGCAGCAAAAGGGAGGCAGGAATGTACGAGAACCCTGGCTACGACCCAAGATCTAGAAAGCGGCACTCGCATATGGATGATAGAGTCGCTAGGGACTTCTACATGCAGGGCGGTGACCCGGACAGAACCTATCGCTCTCATCGTCAGGAAGACGACGGTGAATACGCTAGACGCCGAAGGTCCAGGGCGCCAGAGGAGATGAGACCTACCCCGATGATGCCTGGACAGCGCAAAGATAAGACCTCGTCTTGGGTGAATTCCCAAGCAAGTGACCCCCCGGAACCACCGCCGGTTGTGCCAACTATGTTGGACATGCCGCCTGGTCCGGGAGAGCCCATGGATGGGGCGCATTCAATCTCATCAGACGAGGAGGCCCGACGCGACCTACGCCGGAAGGCAAGAAGACGGGCCCGATACCCCGGACTTACCGATCAGGAGATTGAAGAGGTGCGCGCTAGGAAACACGCGGCTCGGAGGTCTGAGAGAGGACAGAAGAGCAGCTCTGGTAGTGCAGACCATGAGCGAGACCATGGAATGAGATATGACCGCTACGACCAACCACCTCCTAGCTCCGGAGGGAAGTTGCCCAACTGGTTTAAGAAACTTACCAGCTTTTAAGGGTATGCTTCACAAGAGAGAACCTGCCTGATGAGCAATGTTATATTCAACAGCGAGACGTGATGCCAGAAGATTGCTCTTTTGCATATGATGATTGGAATGACGCAATGACTATACACCAGAAATGTTGGAAATGAACCTTGATATTGAGCTTGCTTGCGTTGATGATCAGCACCCTTTTGCTTACGAAATTGTCTCTTGACTGAGATTATGTACACCTGATGCATGTATGATAACTGATGAGAATAACCGAAGACCTCTTCTTGATGAGTTAACGTCAATGAAATGAAAAAAGAAAAATATACTTGTTCATGATCTATAATACAGACCCTCCAACCGTTTACCCACCTTCACAAAACTTCTTCCTCATCAGCTTCCTCCCTCCTCTTCTCCAAATACATCCTGCCTCCCTCATAAATCCCCAGATAGATACTCATCCCAAAAGCCGACCAGACTGACCTCAACGCACCCCCACGAAACAACCCCCTAACGCCCTCCTCCCTCCACACCTCCCTCCCAACCGCCAACGTCCCCTTCACCTTCCCAATCGTATTCTCCGAACCCTTCACCTCCTCCTGGCTAGCCCCCAACATAACCCTCGTCTTGACAACATCAATCGGCGTCGTAACAACCGAAGCCACAGTGCCAGCCACGCCAGCCGCAACGCCCGTCAAAACCACCCTCTCAAGCACCCCAACCTCATTCCCTCCCTCATTAACCACTACCCCATTCCTACCTCCCCCATTCTTCCCTCCCCTCCAATAATCAACAAGCCAAGCCCTCACCCCCTCAAAACCGGAAAATGCAACCCAGTAAAGGGCAAATTCCGGCCCACAAGCGCCGTATACCCGCTCCAGAGCCGCCAAGGCCGGTGTCTGAATTTCGCCAGCACGTGGATTGTGGCGCTTTGCGTGGTAGTAGTAGTAGTAGTTGTTGTTGGGGAGTTCATGTTCAGGACTTGGGCGTTTTGTTTTAGGAC